ATATATATATATATATCAATAGATATGAATGACTCACTGTTCAGGTCGGTTCATCTCCCTAATAGTGCGTTTTTGACTACGTTGAATATTGATCCTACATGGATCATAAAATCCTGCAAATATCATCTGTCGTGTGCGTGTTTGTGGTTCGCTTTCGTCAGAGATTCTGTTAATCTTGCCACATTCTGACTGTCAGTAATCAAGGCCAAGTATATGCATAATGGGTGATCGAATAATACTGATCTCTCAAATCTGAGGTTTTTATTCTGACACATGTATCTGTTTGGTAGGTTATTTGCCTCGAATAAAATCGATGGTACGGACGGCGAGAGATGCTGGATGAAATCGTATTTTTTTGGTGGTTCTCCATAGCTTGCGTACACCCATTTTTGATTGTCAACTTCGACTTGCCGGAAGTCCCCCCAGATTTAACACGCTCACGAACGTACACACACGTGACTTCCAACTTCCTCTTTTCTTACACCGATATTTTCCTTTGTTTCGGCAAGTGAATGAAACTTTGGCATATAGCGGAGTGGAAACTGAGAGTGTACCAGAGCGAAAGAATTATCAAGGGTGCAGGGTTAGAAAAGTGAAGAAGACAAGCCGGATAAGAGAATGTTGAAAATCAGGTGGACGAGAATGGGATTCGGATAGTTCGGGGGAGGGGGAGGAATACCAATGAGCTCGTCCTGGAGTGGTGGTTTTACGACAGCCGTCACTCGCCTGACACGGTGCACTTGCCGCTTGGTTGAAATTGCGCCGTAACAACAGGACGTCGTTAAACTGCTACGGACTTGGCTGCGCTCTTTCGCGCACTAAAAAGGATGATTTAGTTTCCTTTGTCCGAAGTGAGAACTTTCTTTCAAGTCAGGAGCTTGAACAGGAGTTGTGGTACTGATGTGGCCGCATGACTTGGGCGAGGTTATAGTAAACCACTTGAGTGTCAGCCATGCTCATAAAGTTGTGGGAAAGAAAGATTGCTTTAATTTAACCTAACCATCTGTACTAGGATGTATTGAAATCCGTGAGATTATGCCAGTCAACTAATATAGACGTGCTGAACAAAACAGGTTTGCAACTGTAACCCGAACAGTTAAACCTCAGTAGTTTCGCTGGGAATGGAACCAACACATGAACACAGACCCAACTTCAGTGTTGAGGATATCCTGCCATTTGGGTGACAGTAACGGAACGCCGGTGGTCTTCCGCTTTAGTGAAACTTGCACGTGCACAATAGAAAAGAGCTTATATGCATCACAGAATTCTCATTTACAGCGTTGAATGTATTTGTTCGGACGGGCGTTTCCTAAGCAGTTCGCTCATCAATCAATACTACCATTCACTTGTTTAGGTGTGGTAAATGTTACTAACCTTAACACCTGAGTGTCTTTTAGAGAGAATTTTCAAAAAGTAGTATTTGAATCAGCCAACGAAATCTCCTGGGGCATGCTCAACCGGTTTTGCGGTTGTTAACACTCATCGGGTGCAAGTATGATTTATAGATGCATGTGTAAATCCTGGTACATATGCGTGAATTGGAAATAGTGCACTAAGTCATCTGACCTATTTTTCTCAGTCCGCTTTCTTTTATCACCGAAAAGTGGATGCTCTCGATTTCATTTCAGTCACTTTTCGCTTCAGAGAAAAATCGTCTTGTGAAACCGGAAAAACCGGGTCCATTGATCGATAAGCATTGGTAAAACTTGGTTGTTGGTAAAAACGTTCCGGCATAATGACATGTTTCGGTCGACGCCCTAAATGCGGGAGTGGTTTATGGATTTAATTTTTTTTCGGTGAGTTGTTTTCAATTCTTGATCGACTTGAGCGCATCGTGGGTATGGTCTGCATTGCGTCTCAAATTTGCCTATCACGAGGACTTCAACCCACCATTCTAAAAGAGTATCCTCCGTATTTGACAAAATCCCTGGCGGCACTTTAACAAACATATCCATTACCGACTACTGGAAGTTAACTCTTCCGTATCCCACTGCGAAGTCCGTAAATTTTGCCGGATTTCACGCACATCTACCCTTCTCAAAGCATTTGAACCTTTCACTCTTATAAGTTAAGTCATGTACTGATATTTGTGATGTTCTTCCGTTTTTGCCTGTGATAGCAAACAATCAGCATTACTGACGCACGGGCATATCTGGCCCACTCTGTCTTGTTCTCACTCGATCACATTGACAAAGCTGGTTGACAGTTCCAGACTTATTTGTTTTGATACGCTTTTATTTGTCTCAACTATTCATGATGGATGTTAACTTTCGTACTTCAAGCACAGATTGGAGGGACTATGTCACCAAGAGAATCGCGTTCGCTTGTCGAAGGAAGATGATTGTCTTCTTTCAAAATGCGATGTTTGTGTTTTGACACTAAGAACGTCTAAAATTCGGTTACTGAAGCATCTTAGAGTAACCCTCTTCCAAAACTGAATATAAACCCTGTCCATTTCCAATGCAATCAACGTATGGCGTCTGTCGTTTCAAGTTTGAGCGTGAAAATATTTACAATTTCCCTGATTAACTACCCAAATGTTTTGTGTGTTCTTGCCCCCTACCACTTATCCTTTATCACTTTTCGAATAAACGATTGTCATTTTGCGTTGAGCCATGAGAGTTGTGTCCCGTTCCGGTAGTACTCCCCACTCCATGTTTAAAAATTTCACAACTACGCAAATGGATTCCGTCGTGTCCAGAGTAAATGAGGTGTGAACTGAAAAGCTAAGAAGCACTGAACAGCTGTTTCGACTTGATTGTGTCTTTGCTCGGCAGTGCGAATCCATCGACCCAGTTGTGAATCGAACCCGGCCGTTCTCAGGTATAATGACAGCATGCTACCCCTTTGACCACCGGACAGCTGATTGGACCGTTTTTGCATTTCATAATTGAAGAACGTCTTCGTGTCACAAGTTTCATCTCTATTCTATTCTGTTCAATTTATTCACTATACAACAAGTTCACTTACTGTCTTCCTCGATCACCGGATCTAAATGCAAATTATTCTACTCTCGCACAGCTGCATGTTGCGTGTTTCTCAAGACACGGTGATAAACCTTTGTTGCTCAGCGAATTTACAAACTATCAACGTTAGTATACCACCAAGCGTCACGGAGGGCTCGATGACGAACGCTTATGATTAGTAATCGCAACACAACTTCAATCTACAGGAACAATCATTTTCACCATAAATTTGTGTAATTTGCAAATTATAACAGATCGTGTTGGTTGAATATGGGAAAAATTGATTATTCAGGTTAGCAGACTTGATTTTCGATCGCAGATGGATGAATTCACGGTATATAGGCCTCATAGAATAATAGAAATCGCTAACGCCCAGAGATCGCGATCTTGAACAGATAAACCGAAATCGGAGACTGACTTAGATCATTGAATCGGGCATTTATTCTCCGGCAAGGGACCTCTTGGGTTTCTCTCCTTAACAAAAACTACATTCTGCTTTATCTTAAGACCCTGAGGGCCGGGGTAGCATTCTACTTTAGTTTTAGTGAATAGTGGTTACGAACTAGTTCTTATAAGGGTAATCCATATCGTAGTTTTCTTCACGGAAAACTTTAACTGATGTAGTT